AAGAGGTGGCATTTCATATTTTATACAGACACATAAATGGGGTTCATAAGGCATACGTTCATAAAGAGGGGAAAAGAAATCATATCAACGCTCCCCACCCAGATTCCATCTCATAAAGTATGGAGAGCATAATGTTTTTCTTGGCTAACCTTTAGCCTGGATATGTAAATGTTTCTTAGCTCAAAGGGGAGTCCCTTTTGTTTGTGAGTCGGTGACTGAGATGGGGAACCAATTGGAGAGCCATTAATTCTCTAGCCCAGTTGTGTCTCAGATGGAAAAAGTCAAATGACTTTTGTGGCATGGTTTTCAGTAATAAATTTGTTACCTTCTGCTATATATGAAACTAGCTGTCCCCTGCCACACGTTGCTGTGGCCCAGTCTGTTGATCTGGAAAATAAAGGGAATGAGAAACAGGGCCGGCCCTAGGTAATTTTCAATGGTAAGCAAACATTATTTTGGCGCCCCCTCCCCCCAACCAATCACTGAAAAATAAAACGTAGAAGGTAGAGGTGAATAAAAGAGTTACCTTACAAACCAGAAATTTACTTACAACATTATGTTTATATAGTTACATTACACAAATTAACTTTTTTAAGAATGCAAATATTTTACTAAACTTAGCAACAATTTTAAGTTTTTGTTGTTATTTTTGGTCTACAAGTACTACACAAAGGTTTCCTGGTCATGCTGTCTCTTCAGAGAAGATTTTTCAGACTAGGGGTTTGCTAATAACAGAGAACTCAATCCCATGCTTGTTGGGTCTGTCAATCAGATTTGTTTTGGAGAACGCAGCCCCAGGAGAATAGACACCTCCTTTTTAAGAAAGTGAACTCTTGTCCTTCAAAAGTGCCATGCCAGCCTGGACCATTACAATGGGTGTGGCAACATAGTCAGCCTCTGGCCCCTTCACTTTAGTGGATACTTTAACATCCAGTTTTCCTTAACACAAATAAACTTGAACACTTTTAAAATTAAAAAGAGATTTTTCTGGCTTTCAATTTTGAAAACTCGTGTACTATTATATCTGTTTCCATTTCATCCAACAAGCCATTTTCAATGGCCAAGGTTGCTAGTCCACTCAAGCGCTCTTGACTCAAAGTTGATCTTAAATACGTTTTTATAAGTTTTCTAAGATCTACAGAGACACTCGCTGGAACACCTCAGCAAGCGAGAGTCCAAAAGTGGCAGGCTCAAACCCAGCACCTCAGCCCATGGCTGATACCAGATGAGAGACTCCCCCCTGGGCACACAGAGGACTGGGCGACTTGGAAATGGAAAGGAATCACACAGGATCATATTTTTGCAGTCCATTAAGTGTGTTGATGACAAATCAGATAAAGGGAAATTAATATAAAGCAGTGTGTATAAAGGGACATTACATTTGGTAATCTAATGCAGGCTTTAAAAGGTTTTAAAGATCAAGTCAGGGTCTGCTGCAGTTTTTAGTTTTGGATATGTTTTTTATGGATTTTAACTGAATTTTTAAAATACCAATGATATTTAATTCCATTTTAATGTTTGCATATTTGTGGATTTTAGACTGTACTGAAATGTTTTTAATCTAAGCCAACTTGAGTCTTCTTGGGGAGAGAAAAAGCAGGGTATAAATAAACATAATAATGTGTTGTGGAAGGCTTTCATGGCCAGAATCACTGAGTTGCTGTGAGTTTTCTGGGCTGTATGGCCATGTTCCAGAAGCATTCTCTCCTGACATTTTCCCCACATCTATGGCAGGCAACCTCAGAGGAACAAAATCTGGCTACCAGTACCCTCTAAAATCAGAACAATAAATAAAGAGCAACACTAAAAAAGGGGGGGAATTCCTGACATGAAGCAATCAGGGCCAGTTAACCGCTCCCAACAAAGGATTCCTGGGCAGCAACTAGCTCGGCTTCGAAGCTGCAAGGCCATTAAATACTCATCAAGATGACCAATTGCAACATTCACACTTACCTCAAGCAGACATGAGTTCTTTTTCCCACCCTGGACATTCCACAGATATACAAACCCCACTTGCCTAGTTACAAACAGACCTCACAGCCTCTTGAGGATGCCTGCCATAGATGTGGGTGAAACATCAGGTGAGAATGCTTCACCAAGCACCAAAGAGCATTCTGAACTCCACCAATAATAGAACTGAACCAAACTTGGCATACAGGACTTCCATGACTAACAGAAAATACTGGAGAGGGGGTTGGGAAAAATAGACCCTGACATTTGGGAATTGCAGTTTACCAAGCACCAAAGAACATTCTGAGCTCCACCAACAATAGAACTGAACCAAACTTGGCATACAGGACTTCCATGACTAACAGAAAATACTGGAGAGGGGGTTGGGAAAAATAGACTCTGACATTTGGGAATTGCAGTTTACCAAGCACCAAAGAACATTCTGAGCTCCACCAACAATAGAATTGAACCAAACTTGGCATATAGGACTTCCATTACCAAATACTAGAGAGGTTTGGGGGAGGCATGTACAAAAGATGACATTTGCAGTACCTTTTGAGGAGGCCTCCTTGCTGCCCTGAGAGGGGTCCAGGCTCAGCTGCAGGGAAGGGAAGGGAAAGCGAAAGAGCCTGGCTGGCTGCCTCCTGGCAGCACGTGGAGGGAGGACTTCCCTCTCTGCGTAGTGGGCGGGCCTGCGCTTCTCCATTAGAAGGCTGTTGAGGGTGCATGGGGCCTGCAGGAGGAGGCGTGGCCTAAGGACAAAACAGCGCCCCCTGGCAAAAAAAGTATTCCGCGACCGCTTACTTCGAGTAATGGACGGGCCGGCCCTGATGAGAAAGTATTGGTTTCTAATATATGTAATGTCTTGATGCTTGTGGGTAAACAATATTTCTTGTTGTTTCTTTGTCAGTGTTGATGTGGAGAGTGTCTGGTTTGCCTACTCTGGAACATGCAACATATCATTGTCCTTCTTTAAGGGTCCCTTTCAAATCTATGATACTATATCTGTGTGTGTGTGAATCATATCTATCTATCTATCTATCTAATCTATGGCTGGATGGCTCTTTGTCAGGAGGGCTTTGATTATTTTCTTGCCCTGGTGAAGGGAGTTGGACTGGATGGCCTTAAGTATTTTCTGTTGGTCATGGGGGTTCTCTGTGGGAAGTTTGCCCCAATTCTGTCATTCGTGGGGTTCAGAATGCTCTTTGATTGTAGGTGAACTGTGAATCCCAGTGACTACAACTCCCAAATGTCAAGGTCTATTTCCCCCAAACTCCATCTGTGTTCATATTTGGGCATATTGAGTGTTTGTGCCAAGTTTGGTCCAGATCCATCATTGTTTAAGTCCATAGTACTCTCCGGATGTAGGTGAAGTACAACTCCCAAACTCAAGGTCAATGCCCACCAAACCCTTCCAGTATTTTCTGTTGGTGATGGGAGTTCTGTGTGCCAAGTTTGGTTCAATTCCATCGTTGATGGAGTTGAACTATAAATCCCAGCAACTACAACTCCCAAATGACAAAATTATAATTTTGAGTGATGGTCACTCCTTGTGTTGTGAGACATTTTGTTGCCAAATTTGGTGTGATTTCGTTCATTGGTTCTTTTGTTTTTAAGGAACTCATTATGCACAGAGCATTTATATATATATAGATTTAGGGCATAAAATCTTGATTAAATGTACACACTATCTGACATGGGAAGGGTCTCTGTTGTTGTTGTTAGTGTCTTTGCAAATTGACCAAGACTTGACCCGTTATCCAGCCTGATGTCCTTGTCCTTAGCAAAACTATAAGTTACTATCTCTTATGGAGGGTGGGGTCATGTTCGACTTCATTTTGAATCATAAGTTTTTTGTGTTCTAACTAATAACAAATCTACATCCTTGTTTAAGGTCTGTGAAGGCTTTATGTATTTGCAATCTCAATCTGCAGCAGGGCTCCTCAAACTATTTAAACAGAGGGCCAGGTCACAGTCCCTCAAACTGTTGGAGGGCTGGATTATAATTTTTAAAAAGCATGAATGAATTCCTATGCACACTGCACATATCTTATTTGTAGTGCAAAAACACTTTGAAACAATACAATAATTAAAATGAAGAACACTTTGAACAAATAAAAACTTATTAGTATTTCAATGGGAAGTGTGGGCCTCCTTTTGGCTGATGAGATAGGATAGTGTTGTTATATGATTTGAAGTTGGTTCAGACTTAGGTTGACCCTGAGCGAGGGCCGGGTAAATGACCTTGGAGGGCCGCATCTGGCCCCCGGGCCTTAGTTTGAGGACCCCTGGTCTAGATCTAGGGAAGTCGTGCTATCCCTCTATTCTGCCTTGGTTAGCCCACACCTGGAATATTGTGTCCAATTCTGTGCACCACAATTGAAGGGAGATGTTGGCAAGCTGGAATGTGTCCAGAGGAGGGCGACTAAAATGATCAAGGGTCTGGAGAACAAGCCCTATGAGGAGCGGCTTAAAGGGCTGGGCATGTTTAGCATGCGGAAGAGAAGGTTGAGAGGGGACATGATGGCCAGCCAGGTATAAATATGTGAGGGGAAGTTGTAGGGAGGAGGGAACGAACTTGTTTTCTGCTGTCCTGGAGACTAGGATGCGGAACAATGGCTTCAAACTGCAAGAAAGGAGATTCCACCTGAACAGGACGAAGAACTTCCTAACTGTGAGAGCTGTTCAGCAGTGGAACTCTCTGCCCCGGAGTGTAGTGGAGGCTCCTTCTTTGGAGGCTTTTAAACAGAGGCTGGATGGCCATCTGTCGGGGGTGCTTGGAATGCAATTTTTCCTGCTTCTTGGCAGGGGGTTGGTTGGATGGCCCATGAGGTCTCTTCCAACTCTATTATTCTATGTGTGCAGATGACCTTGAGTCCACATGCCAGGAGAAGAGATGGGCGAGTTGGAAGCCAGAGCCTGAGCACGAGCTCTGCTGGAAGAGGCTCCCAGGGGGCGCGTGCGGGTGCGCGAGACCTCTCCCCTCCCTTCCTTTGCTGAGGCCCCTCCCCTTCTCCCCCTCCCCTCCCCCCTCCCTCCTCGACGTGGAGCCTGGCCGAGCGGGACGGCAAAGAGGCGCCTCGCGCTCGCTGCCCGCTCGCCCTTCATGGCGCGCGCGCCCACGGCGGGGGGGCTGCCCTCCCCTTCCCTGCTGCTGCTGCCGCTGCTGCTGAGCCTGTGCTGGGCGACCTCGCTGCAGGGCCTTCAGGACGAGGCGGACAACCAGGAGAACATCCTCTCCCAGGTAGGCGAGGCTGCTCCTCACGCCAGTAGGACCCGGCACTTGTTCTTCTCCTTCAGGCTTTCTCTGAGACGGAGAGCAACCCTCTCTCCTCTCTGCTGCCCTCCGCCGGCCCCCGTGGGATCCTCGCTTTTGAGGGAACGCGCCCAGGCTGGGAGGTCACGTGACAGAGGAAGGTGGCAGCAGGAGATAACACAGGACTTCTGGATGGACAGCAGCCCTAGGCACGCTCAGAGTTTAAGAGCAAGAGGAGCAGGCCACAATCAAGGCTTGGTCACGTGGCTCTCTTGCAATTGAGTGGGAATCCCACCACATTGGCATTGTCTGGTGGATCCTTCCACACAGCTGTAGAGAATCCGCATTGAACTGGATTATATGGCAGTGTGGACTCAGATAACCCACTTCTGCTTTGATAATCTGGATTATATGGCAGTGTAGAAGGCCCCTGAGATGGTCTCTTATAGTGGTGCCCAACCTTTGGTCCTCCAGGCGTTTTGGATTTCAACTCTCAGAAATCCCAGCCAGCAATCCAGCTGTTAGGAATTGTGGGAGCTAAAGTCGAAAACACCAGGAGGGCCAAAGGTTGGCACCACAATTGAAGAGAGATATTGACAAGCTGGAATGTGTCCAGAGGAGGGAGACTAAAATGATCAAGGGTCTGGAGAACAAGCCCTATGAGGAGCGGCTTAAAGAGCTGGGCATGTTTAGCCTGAAGAAGAGAAGGCTGAGAAGCAGGGGCGGCTCAACTCATTACGCAAAGTAAGCATTTGCAGTATAGTTGATTTTGCCCAAGGGCGCTCTTGAGGTGCTCTTGGGGGAAAATAGACCTTGACATATGTGAGTTGTAGTTACTGGGATGTATAGTTCACCTACAATCAAAGAGCATTCTGAACACCAATGATGGAACTGAACCAAATATGGCACACAGAACTCCCATGACGAACAGAAAATATATATCAGTGATTGGTTGGGGGAGGGGCACCAAAATACTGTTTGCTTACCATTGAAAATTACCTAGGGCTGCCTCTGCTGAGAGGAGACATGATAGCCATGTATAAATATGTGAGAGGAAGTCACAGGGAGCAAGCTTGTTTTCTGTTTCCCTGGAGACTAGGACACGGAAAAATGGCTTCAAGAAAGGAGATTCCACCTGAACATTAGGAAGAACTTCCTGACTGTGAGAGCTGTTCAGCAGTGGAACTCTCTGTCCCTGGAGCGTGGTAGAGGCTCCTTCTTTGGAAGCTTTTAAACAGAGGCTGGATGGCCATCTGTTGGGGGTGCTTTAAATGCATTTTTCTGCTTCTTGGCAGGGGGTTGGACTGGATGGCCCATGAGGTCTCTTCCAACTCTATGATTCTATGATTAGGTTGATGAGTGAGGGACGGATAAATGACCTTGGAGGGCCATATCCAGCACTTGGGCCTTAGTTTGAGGACCCCTGATCTGGATTAGTGTAAAAGGGCCCTGAGATGATTTCTTATAGTGGTGCCCAACTTTGATCCTCCGGGGGTTTTGGACTCCAACTCCCAGAAATCCCAGCCAGCTATCCAGCTGTTAGGAATTGTGGGAGCCAAAGTCGAAAACACCTGGAAGACCAAAGGTTGGGAACTACTAGTGTACTAGGGGCCCTTCCACACAGCCCTATATACCAGAATATCAAGGCAGAGATTCCCACAATATCTGCTTTGAATTGGGTTATCTGATAACTCAGATAATGTGGATTACAGAATACATAAATGGCAAACATTCAGTGTTGTTATACAATTAACAACAAAAACAGACAGTACATGGACAGAGGCAAGGCTTCCCTCCTTTTCATCTTTGGCATCTGGAGGCTGTGCTTGACTCAGCCATGGAGACGTGCTCCATGAAGCCTATTGTTTGTGGATGCCTTCCTGATCAAATTGGCGGCATGTCTTCAGGGGCGCCTTTTACCTTCCCATCAAAGCGGTACATATTTATCTACTCACATTGCTGTTTTTGAACTGCTATAGGTAAGCAGAAGCGAGGGCTGACGGCAGGAGCTTACCCCAACCCACTGCTTGAAGTGCTAACCTTCCAGCTGGCAAAATTTTCTATAGTTGGCAGTTTACTATTCCATTATCCCGGCAGAGGCCAAAAGGGGGCCCTAGATAGAGAAGAATAGTCCATTTTAGAGGGGGGACTGCCCAGTGGGTTGGGGGTACCTCTGATTCTTAATGAAACCAATTATTGCTACTTAGAGGGAAGTCTCTTTCCACATTAATTACAGCTTAATAAATCCACACTGTTTGGGTCAGTGTCCTTACAAATAAGACTGTTTCTGTTTGTCAGATGAAAACCTGCTCATACTTAATGCTGGATTGATGAAATAGCAAAAGTGTGATGATACAAAGGAAGCAAGTTAGATATATTTTATATCAGCTGCTATTGCTAAAGCAGTAATTAAGTTTAGATCCCACAATCTTGTAAACAGAACGGAATGACAGAAATGGCTTAGGTCCAGAGAAGCTAAATTTGGTTATGGGTTTAAAGAAACTGTCTTTTTGAGAATTATGTGGTTTAATATACACAAATCTGAAATATTATGAATTGTGTTGTCTGAAGGAAGCTGCAGGAACAGTTGTGCATAGCATGGATATTAAGCAGATGGCATGAAAAACTGAGCAAGAGTAACCAAAATGTGCGGTCCAACATTTTTGGTGTTATATATATATATATTGGTCGTGCCAGGAGCAACTTGAGAACCTGCAAGTCGCTTCTGGTGTGAGAGAATTGCCCGTCTGCAAGGACGTTGCCCAGGGGACACCTGGATGTTTTGATGTTTTATCATCCTTGTGGGAGACTTCTCTTGTGTCCCCGCATGAGGAGCTGGAGCTGATAGAGGGAGCTCATCTGCACTCTCCCTGGATTCGAACCTATGACCTGCCGGTCTTCAGTCCTGCCGGCACAGGGATTTAACCCACTGCGCCACCGGGGGCTCCAGTGTATGTATGTATGTGTATTATATATATGTGTGTGTGTGTGTGTGTGTGTGTATAACATAAATTGTTTCAGAGTACTCTTTCTTGTTTGCCTAGCGCTGCCCCAACTACACAATAAAAGTGGTAAAACCCAGAGTTTAGAAATGTTATTTTTCTGGACTGTCTTTTATAGTATATTCCAGCTACCTACCCGCCTTTGTAACTATCAGTCCGGCTGTGACTCAGTTTAATTGCACCAAAAGGAAGGCCATTCCAATGTTATGTCTCAATGGACAACCCCTAATTACAACCAAAGCATATGTTGTGGTAGTACCTTTGTTATTGTTGTATGCTTTCTAGTTATTTCTTACTTAAGGCAAACCTATCACAAGGTTTTCCTGGCAGGATTTGTTCGGGGTGGGTTGCCCATACTTTCCTCTGAAGCTTAGGCTGGATCTACACTGCCAAAGAATGCAGTTTGAACTGCATTATATGGATTTTCACTGACACCATATCATGAGAGAGTGCGACTGGTCCAAGGCTGCACAGTTTATTGATTTTTTGTTTATGGCATTTTTACCCCACTCTTTTCAGTCTGAAGGCAACTCAGGACGGCGTAGAGATTGGCAACAATTAGATGCCATAAACATACATACATAGCAATTAAAAACATTTAATATCACATAGTAAAAATCCATATGAAAACCAATTAAAACTATAATAATTAATGTCTACCAGTTCCATAGCTGAATGAGGTTTCAGATCCTGGCCATTCGGTGTCCTAGGCCAGAGCGTCTTAAACTTTTCCACCTGCGACCCCCTTTGGCCCGAGAAATGGTTATGTGATCCCAGATATATATAAAATAAGTATAAAAACAAAGTATTTACTGATAGCAGAATTGGCAAGGCTTGCTAAGGGGGCTGATCTTCCTTCTTATGCAGTACATCTGAAGCATCTTCATCTAAGTCCACTGTAAATACTGCACAACAGATTCCCATAAATGTCTAAAACAGCCACCAAGTGATGTTCGGGAGATGTCTTAAGGCATTATTTACATATGTATTTGGATCAGGAGTCCTCAGACTTTTAAAGCAGAGGGCATGTTCATAGTCCCCAAGAATGTTGGGGGACCAGACTATACACACTGCAAATATCTTACTTGTTAAAAGAAACATACTTGGTGATACTGATTGACTTGTTTGACAGTTCTACACTGTTCTGCAATTTCTGTTTATTAATTTGTTGTTCCTTTTTATTTTGGTGTAAGGAGCCCCTGGTGGCACAGTGGGTTAAACCCATATGCCAACAGGACTGAAGACTGACAGGTTGGAGGTTTGAATCTGGGAAGAGCATGAATGAGCTCCCTCTGTTAGCTCCAGCACTCCATGCGGGGACATGAGAGAAGCCTCGCACAAGGATGATAAAACATCAAACATCCGGGAATCCCCTGGGCAACGTCCTTACAGACGGTTAATTCTCTCACATCAGAAGCGACTTGCAAGTTTCTCAAGTTGCTCCTGACATGAAAAAAAATTGGTGTATTGCCTTCTCAAATAAAGCTAGATAGGCAGAATGTTTATCTTTAAATCTTGGTGGCAAATGTGTGTACTTGTTGCTAAGTGGTGGTCTCAAGATGCACCTGCTGTTCATATTCTGGTCCCAATTCAAGGTGCAGGTCATCATCTATAAAGCTCTGAATGGTTTGGGACCTGCCTACTTTTGTGACCGCATCTCCTACAATAAACCTGCACGATCTCTTTGATCTTCTGGAGAGGCCCTCCTTTCGCCCCTTCCTCTATCACAGGCACGACTTGTGGGAACGAGGGAGAGAGCCTTCTCTGCTGTGGCCCCCAGCTTTAGAACTAATTACCTGGTGAGATTAGGCAAGCCCCTACCCTGTTCTTAATGAAGACCAAACCTCACTGCTCTTCCTTCTTGGGCTCCTCCCTTACAAATACACTTTCTATATTTCCTATCTTACGCAGGGTTTTAACGTTTTAACATTTTATCTTGCACCAGGTGGTGCAGTGGGTTAAACCCCTGAGCCGGCAGGACTGAAGACCGACAGGTCGCAGGTTCAAATCCGGGGAGAGGCAGATGAGCTCCCTCTATTAGCTCCAGCTCCTCATGCAGGGACATGAGAAAAGCCTCCCACAAGGATGATAAAAACATCAAAATCATCCTGGGCAACGTCCTTGCAGACGGCCAATTCTCTCACACCAGAAGTGACTTGCAGTTTCTCAAGTCGTAACCAAAAAGAAAAATCTTGCACATCTGGCCCGCCCTTTGTGTTTGATTTTTATTATGTTATTTTGCACTGATTATTTTATTTTGTTACATTATGTATTTTGTTGTGTTTAATTTTATGTTGTTTTATATCTTATTTTGCTGTACTATTTTTGGGCTTGACCTCATGTTAGCCGCCCCAAGTCCCCTTTGGGGAGATGGTGGCAGGGTATAAATAATAATAATAATAATAATAATAATAATAATAATAATAATAATAATAATCTTTCCACTGGTGCCCCACCACTAAAAAGTTCTACATATACTGCACAACAAGAAAAATATATACTCAGTCTGTTTTTGTTCTCCAGTTTTACGTCTGCTCTCTCTCTAAAGGAAATTCTCTGGATTGCATTTACAGTTGTTAGAAAGCGACTTTGGCTAACAGGATGTGGTGCTGTGTTTCCGAACTCAAGCAAAGGTCTTGTCTTGTTCTTCAAAGGGGAGACATAAATGCCTTGTGGACTGCCAGGAAAGTTTGTTGAGGGATTGACTTTGCTCCTTTGAGGCACTGACTTTTTTTTTTCAAAGATGTTACTATGGCTGCATTTCTCATAAAATGATGTTGTATCTGGTTTTATCTGTTTTAGCCCATCTGCACTGGGAAGTTCTCTTATATAAGCCATGCTGAAGTAATTGGGAGATGCAAAGATCCCTGTGCAACTCCTGTTCATATCAATAGTGTTTGTGTAGGGAAACTTCCCATTTGGCCCCGGTTTAAATGAGATCATCCTGGAATGAGTGGTTTGATCATTGTACTCTTAACTTTCCCAAACCCTTTACAGAGGCAACATTTTTTCAGGGGAAGCTAACTAGTTTGGTTTGGGAAGTCTGGACAGTGGAAGAACTAACTTTCCCAGATACTCAAGGCATAGAAAATGTGAAGAGTAAGCAACATTTTAAACCAGTGACTTATGTCTTCATAATTTCAGAATGTCTGTGCCTCTCCCAGGCACTCCACATAAGCAAATACAAAGCCGGGAGTGGTGATGGGAGGGGGTACAACCACTTTCACACAAATTGACCAATTTATATTTTTTCCCTTTCCCTGAACCAGTTGCTGGGTGACTATGACAAGGTGAAGGCGGTATCTGAAGGCCCAAACTGTCAGTGCAAGTGTGTGGTGAGGCCCTTGAGCAGAGGTGCCTGCCAGAGGCTGAATGAAGGAGCTTCAAAACCAGACGATTTTTACGTGGTGGAAACAATAACATCTGGACCAGAGTGCAAATGTTCATGTGTGGCTCCACCATCTGCTTTGAATCCTTGTGAAGGAGACTTCCGGTTGAAGAAACTGCAAGAAGCAGACAGCAAGGACTTCAAGGTATTTGCCTTTGGGCATTTTCCTCCCTCTGCTTCCCACTTTTAAAATCTGGGATGGGAATTATGTAGCTCTCTGGATGTTACTGAATGGCATTCCTCACCATTGGCTATGTTTACTAGGGAATCACATCCATAATAACAACAAAATTTTACTAGTTTTATTTTCATTTGAGGAGGAAGGTGGGGAGACCTTAGGTCATCATAGTGTTTACAAATGCACCATCTTGCTGAATGGGGGATAAGACAAGAGGGAAAAACAGTGCTCATGTATCCATACAGCATGCCCAGACTTTGCCTTTGAATCCTTACTGGGGAGCCTCATTTTAGAAAAGGTATTCCAGAATTTATAGTCCAAAAAGTAACATTTTCCAGGGAATATCTATGCTGCAAGAAGACTTGGAGAGGATGTTTCCTTGAGATGGTCCCAACACTACAGCACTCCCCTAACATTTTGTTGGTTTTGCAAAAGATGAACATTCAGAGGAAATAATATAAGGTTGGCCAGAAAGCCGCTTCTTTCTTGTAGTTTGGCTGCCAACAGGCAAGAAATACTCTTGGGCTTAGTTATTTTCTGTGTATTTTTTTTAAAGTGGAACTTGAATGGAATCCTTTTTTGACTACCACTCCAGGAATCCCTTAGTCCCATAATTTACTGATGCCAATGATGACATCATTGTCCAGATTGCTCTCACCTTCTGAGGCAGAGGAAAGCTAGGACCCTTCCACCCAGAATATCAAGGCAGAAAATCCCACAATACCTGCTTTGAACTGGGTTCATAGAATCATAGAATCATAGAGTTGGAAGAGACCTCATGGGCCATCCAGTCCAACTGCCTGACAAGAAGCAGGAATATTGCATTCAGAGCACTCCTGACAGATAGCCATCCAGCCTCTGTTTAAAAGCTTCCAAAGAAGGAGCCTCCACCACACTCCGGGGCAGAGAGTTCCACTGCTGAACGGCTCTCACAGTCAGGAAGTTCTTCCTCATGTTCAGATGGAATCTCCTTCTTGTAGTTTGAAGCCATTGTTCCGCGTCCTAGTCTCCAGGGAAGCAGAAAACAAGCTTGCTCCCTCCTCCCAGTGGCTTCCTCTCACATATTTATACATGGCTATCATATCTCCTCTCAGCCTTCTCTTCTTCAGGCTAAACATGCCCAGCTCCTTAAGCCACACTCCTGACAGATGGCCACTCCTGACAGATGGCCATCCAGCCTCTGTTTAAAAGCTTCCAAAGAAGGAGCCTCCCCTACACTCCAGGGCAGAGAGTTCCACTGCTGAACGGCTCTCACAGTCAGGAAGTTCTTCCTAATGTTCAGATGGAATCTCCTTTCTTGTAGTTTGAAGCCATTGTTCCGTGTCCTAGTCTCCAGGAAGCAGAAAACAAACTTGCTCCTTATGACTCTTCCTCTCACATATTTATCATGTCTCCTTTCAGCCTTCTCTTCTTCATGCACAGCTCTTTAAGCCGCTCCTCATAGGGCTTGTTCTCCAGACCCTTGATCATTTTAGTCGCCCTCCTCTGGACACATTCCAGCTTGTCAATATCTCTCTTGAATTGTGGTGCCCAGAATTGGAGACAGTATTCCAGGTGTGGTCTAACCAAGGCGGAATAGAGGGGTAGCATGACTTCCCTGGACCTAGACACTATGCTCCTATTGATGCAGGCCAAAATCCCATTGGCTTTTTTTGCCGCCACATCACATTGTTGGCTCATGTTTAATTTGCTGTCCATGAGTACTCCAAGATCTTTTTCACACGTACTGCTCTCGAGCCAGGCATTGTCCCCCATTCTGTATCTTTGCATTTCGTTTTTTCTGCCTAAGTGGAGTATCTTGCATTTGTCCCTGTTGAACTTCATTTTGTTAGTTTTGGCCCATCTCTCTAATCTGAGTCTACACTGTCGTATATTCCAGTTCAAAGCAGATAATGTGGGATTTTATTAATCTGTGTGGAAGGGGCCTTAGAAGCTACATGATATTGAATTGGGTCCTTAGGCCCACTAGCATTGCTATCTGAAGGTATTTGTAGGAGAGGACACTTGGTGCTGAGTGCAGCAGTCCCAGGGCATGTGGAGGGGGCAGTTCTGTATGTGCAGCAAAGATGAGGAGAGCAGATGCATAAGGGGGCACTCCAGCCAGGAATTTGTCCTGACTGGGTTGAACCAGCCATAAAAGTAAAGGGCCGTGGGGAAATCTTTGCTAGATGTCGTCATTTAGCAGATCTGGGTTTTATAGCACTAGTTTGAAAAACAGAAATGTGTGAGCCTCAGGGAGTATTTTTAAACATAGCTCTAGAGTAGGGTTAGAGAACCTTTTTTCCTTGAATTGCATGCTCGTTTCATAGGATAGGTTGCCAACCTGTTAGCAGTGGGCAGGTAGAAGCCAATGATGAGGGAAACCAGAGCCAGAAGTTGGCAGCACCACCTCTCCTCCCCCCCTCCTTTTGCTTCTTTTGCTGCTGCTTCCCCCCCCCCCCCCAACTTTGAGTAAGGGAAAATTTTGAGTAAACAAGCCAGCTGAGAGGGGAGGAATGAGAGAAGGGAAAAAAGGGATGAATGTAAGGAGATAATTAGATGACCTTAGCAGTAAAGGTGAAATTCTGAAAACTGGTGGCAACTTAAATCCAACAAATTAAAGATAATAAACAAAAAATCCCAAATGCATTTGAATAAAACAAGTATAATAATCCAAAAAGAATCCTCCAATTTCCCCTTCCCATAGCTTTCCCCCACTTCTTGTCCCCCTCCCTTTATTAAAAAAATAAACAATTTAAAGACACAACCAACTTCTCCCCCCTCAAACCAAGTCATCTATAAAAATATTATATTCTCTGAGTTGTCCCAACTTCTGCTACTTATAGAAATATATATTTGAAATTAATACATACGTAATCTTATACAATGTTTTGACTAAAATTATATTCCTGTAATTTTATCTTTTATACATCATCCTAACATTCCCCAAATTTTTCTTTTATTTTAAAATGGATCTTACTGTATTCAACGTGTTTCTGTATATCTTGCTGTGGGCGGTTCCAGACAGGCCTTTATCCTAGAACCATTCACGTTTAAAAACGCTGATGTTCCTTGGGGCCTGTCTACACACACCCGGAGGCCCTACCACCCTTCACCAAAACCCCCAAACCCCTTTAAAAAGTAAGGAAAACTTACCCAACCTCCATGAGGCTGTAGCTGGAGCTCTCCCGGTGCATAGAAATGACGTGTCAGGAGAGCAGGGAAGCGGGGAGCGATTTTACTGGAGGGCAGGTAAATTTTCCTTACTTTTCAAAGGGGTTTGGGGGCTGTGGGGGAGGGGGGGTATTCCCACAGTTTTTTGGACTAATGGGAAAACTATGGGAATGGTGTCTGGACTGTAGTCCAGACACCGGAAGTAGTGGGTTTACCCCATGCCTTTCAAGAAGGTGTGGAATAAATCCACAATCTAATTAATTTGCTACAAACCAAGGTTTAGTGATTTGTTTTGTGATAGTTAATATTTCCCTGGATTCTATTATTATATCTTTAAGGTCCTGTTTGATTCTGATTTCAGTTTGAGAAAACTCTTGTTTACATTCAGTAATGTTTGCAAAACCTGTAGCTGTGACATCTTTTGGTGTTCTTCCTAAGCAAACTGCAAGGGGCTAATTAAAGTCTTCTAAGTCTAGCAGAGAACATAAATTACGTAGTTGCTTGTTGGAATAGCTTGGTTTTTATCTCTGCGTTGCAATATGAGTTGTTACTTCTCTCTTTTGGTTAAAGTCTTTAGCCTTGAGCATTTATTCTGTCTTAGCTTTTGGGTTGTTAAGAAGGGTTATATCATCATTAATAAGAGAGCTTTTAAGCTCCTGGATTGATCATTTCCAAAGCAAGACAACAACCTCCTTCATTTTTGACAAAATGAAGTAGTTGTTAGCTAAATAACGTATTCATAAATGTCACTCCCTCTGAGGATGCTTGCCATAGATGCAGGCGAAACATCAGGAGAAAAATTGCCTCCAGAACATGGCCATATAGCCTGGAAAAACCTACAACAACCCAGTATTCATAAATCTTCTAGTCAAATTTAGACATATATTTTGAGAGAAAAAACTTGCCTTAAATCGAGGGGTTCCCAATCTATAGTCTTCTTTTACGTTGATTTGTTATGTCAATGGAAGGGTAGTTTTCTTGGAGCTGGTCCAGTCAGAAAGCTGGGGGTGCTCTGAATGTGGTATATGGACTGGTTTTAAATAGTTTTAACTGTTTATTTTTTAATAGTTTCAATGTTTAATCCTCTTTTCATGTTTGTATGTTTTTTAGGTTTTAAATTATATATTGTATGATTTCTAGCATTAGCCGCTTTGGATCTCTTTCCAGGGAGAAAAGATGGGATAGAAATAAAATAATAATAATAATAATAATAATAATAATATAATATTTTCAGAGAGAAACGAAGATGGCAACCTGAGCTTGCCTTTTCTGTGACTGCTTCTCCTGGCTGGGTTCATGGACCACTGAAACAAATAATGGCTTTTGTGGATAATCCTTTTTTCCTTTCATACCTAAAAGGAATTTTCCGCCAATTTTGAAGTCCCCAAACATTTTGTCCTCTGTGAATTGCTTTTCTTCAACATGAGCCAAAGTGAGAGGGAACTTTTGCTATTTGACTCCATTGATGTCAAGTTATTATTTTTATTTTTGACATGTTATCTTGCCTTTTCTACAAGGAGCTCAGTGTAGTCTCTTCCAATTTTTGGCTACAAAGCAATACTGTGGGCCAGGTTAGATCGAAAGAGATCATCCAGTTCGCTTCACATCTTAGTTGAGGACTTGGTAATAGTTTTTGACCCTGGTCCAACATCTCACTGGCCTTTATTCTAATTTCAATCTTATCTCTTTAATGGGCTCACTAGATGGCTCTTTTGAGGCAAATTATTGTGTGGCCTTAATATTACTCAGTTGCCTGCTATAAGAGATGAGAATAATTATGATCTATCTCCCAGAATTCTTTTTTTCTGAAATTTTGATTGAATTTATTCACTGCTTTGAGCCTCTTTAAGAGAAAATATATATAAATAATAATAGTAATAATAGTAATAATAATTTAACCAATCTCCCCTCCCCTCACCAAGTCACGGGTGTTTACAGACTATCTTCCAGAGTTGTGTACCAAAATAATTGTGTGGAACATTGAGCATTCAGAAAGCACAACACAATTATTTATTAATGACTCTGAAACAGTTTTGAATTGGTTTGTTTGGTGTGAATGTAGAACTAACAAAACAAAATAAAAAGAGACTCATCTTTGGCAAAGCACAACTTGTGGTGCCCATCCTTTGTTTGTAACAGAACTGTACAATACTGAAAATTTTGAATTAACTGCTAAGGGAAGCTGAATTCATGGTGGTCAGTGTATAGATCTCTGTTGTGAGTGGAGGAGCCAGAGAAGAATGTGCCCGAAAAATTGCATTCTAGGTGTATTAAATTCCCATCTGAAGTGAAATCTGAATGAGGATACAGTAGTTGGTCTTTGAATATTACCAACATGCTTTATAAAAAGCCATGTTTCAAAGTGTTTGTTTCTCACCTTGCTTTGCATAATCAGTCATAGAATCATAGAATCCTTGAGTTGGAAGAGACCTCATGGGCCATCCAGTCCAACCCCTTATTTGTCATTTTGTTGACTCATATCAACTGGTTGTTAACCTATGTTTGCCCCTCCTGCATCAGACCGGTTGCCTTTCCAATTTGCTGTTGGCAACGGGGGCCAACCACATGTTGCCTCTTGGACAGCCCTTCTCAAATGTTTTACCTTGTAGGAGTCCTTGCAAGTATTGCAATCCCTCAGAATGGATCTTATGCATCTTTTTATTTGGAGATCTGTGGCCACGGAGGAGCGATTGCAGAGGTACCATTGACTTCCCTGTGCCTACTGCCTGGAGCCACCATTATGGGACAAACTTCCCTGTTTCTCTGGACGATCCACATCCACTTGCACATTTCCTTTCCACGGAACAAAACATAGCTGCTTCACAGTGCCAAGTCTAAAATGTGGGAAGCCCATGCTTTTGTGTAATTCTGGTAATTGTCTTCTTTTCTGCTTTACAAGACTTTGGGAAACCAAAAATGTAAATGGAGACGGTTGTTACAGTTTTCTTTGCATCATTGTTCCAGACGACTTGAAACTTGAGCCCAGCCTGGACTCACTCAAATAAACTATAATCCAGTGAACAGTCTGTCCAGCAGCAGTTCCTTTGTTCTCAGAACACCAGGTGACACGAAGCTCGTGTTGGATGTGAAAGAGAACCCGCCTTCAATTCCTGTCAAATTTCATTTAGTAAACTGGCAAATTCTTACAAATCCCACCAGGCCTCTTTGTAACCTTTAAAATAATTTTCAGCTTCTTTGCAATCCGAGTGTGTTTGGCAAAGTCATGTCTCTTTTTTCTTAAGGGAGAATGTTTTGTTATAGCAAGAAACTTTAAAAAAATTTTTCCTGTTTCCTCCCCTTAATATTGATTTTCTCTCTTTTTATATATTCTATTCCTTTTATTCTAAAACACAAGTTTTCCCCATATAAACATCTCTAAAACGGAGTGTGTGTGTATAGGTTTTTTTTACTATTGGTGATACTGAAATCAATGGTGTCTTGGAATTGAAGAAATATGGTAGTTGGGTTGTTGTAGGTTTTTTGGGCTATATGGCCATGTTCTAGAAGCATTCTTTCCTAACGTTTCACTTGCATCTATGGCAAGCATCCACAGAGGTTGTGAGGTCACAACCTCTCAACCTCTGAGGATGCTTGCCATAGATGTAGGCGAAACGTCAAGAGAGAATGCTTCTAGAACATGGCCGTATAGCCTGAAAAACCTACAACAACCCAGTGATTCCAGCTATGAAAGCCTTCAACAATCTGGTAGTTGTTTCCTTGGAAGTTTGCTCTTTCAGGTAAACATTACAACCATGCTGACGTCTCCCTCTGAACCTGGTAGGTGGCCTGCCACAGGGGTGTAGAAAACTGTTTAGGGAGTGGAATGATAGATAACTAGTGCCTCAAAGTGTATAGGGAGTGCAAAATGCAGCAACACCAAAACATCTGTTGTGTGTGCAGTGTTCCAGCAGAAAATTTATTTTTCGATAAAAACGCATACACCTATCTTACCAGTACTGAATCAYTATAGCCGCAAGGCTAAAACTCTATGCTAATTTACTTTCAGAACCTTGTAAGGTGCATATGCTCTAYGTCAGTAGTTCCCAACTTTTTTTTTAACCAGGGAGCACTTGACCATGGGCCAARTGACCAGGGACCACTCCAACATTAGTACCAAAAGGGCTATGAATCAGATTTTGGTCAACTTTCGATTTGGTTTGGTTATTTGGGGTGCTGATTCAGAAAATTGCATTGGATAGACCACATCGGCTCTAGTTTCTGATACAGAATATATGCCATTCAGTAGTCGCCATTTGCTCACCCACAAAAAACCATATTTAATAAATCTTGGCACTATAAGAGGGTTTTGCGAGACCAGTCGCTCTTGTTGCAACGGTGTAGTAACAGTGAGGCCGTGGACCATATTTTAGTTCTTGCAGACCACGGGTGGTCCACGACTACAGGTTGGGAACCACTGCTCTAGGTCATAGCTGTCCTTATTATTCAGTTACAATGAACTACGTGGCCAAGCAAACATTTGAACCCTGATCTCCAAAGTTGGATTCCAGTATGCAGATCGCTACTCCACGTTGGCTTCCCTAATGTGTTATTGCACATGTAACAAAAATGATATGAAAAGAGCTGTGATTCTGTGTGAACGCAATCCCAATTCTCAGTATTGCCATTATTTTCTTGTGCATAGTGTGGGAAATCCATGGTGAGATTAGAGTGCTCTCTCTGTTTTCCCCCTTGAGAGTGTTTTTTCTTCTGACGACAACTCTAATAGTTTTCCCAAGACCTTTTATGGCATTGTCTCCATACAGTTGTGTCAGATCAAAATTCTCCTTCATCAGCCAGCAAACACAAATCTTTGTGATGCTGACTGGTGGGGATGGGATATATAATTGACCATAACTAGAAAAGCCTAGTTAATAGATCTTCCCTTATTTACCGAGTATTTTTCAAGTGGTGAATTAGAAATTACTCCTTTTTTTGGGTGGGTTGTCTGCCTGTTACTTCCTGTTCTTTTGAGTCAGAGAATTCCAGTAATCTCCAGTAAAAGCCATTTAGGACAAAGATAAAAATTTTGGAGACCTCTCCTGCAATTGATCCAAATGTAGGCCGTACTGGCCTTGATGTATGGTGCAGTTCTGTTGTGAGGTTGCTTCTCTTTATTCAGATTTGTCATAGCTTTTCATCCACAGTTGTGATTCATGTACTCTCCTTGTGTGTATGAGAAACATCAGGCTCAAGCTTCCTCCAAAGGACCTCACATCTCCATGGCGCCTTGTGGCCTTCTGCAGTGTTTCCAATGGATGGCTGACAGTTGAGTCATATTCCTTGTCATCTAGGAACTGGATTGTATTCCAGAGGGTTAATTTGCTAGGTTCCCTGGAGAGGATTATATCGACATGCTTGGCTGTATTACTCAAACTGGAAAAACAAAGAACTAGGCCATCCAGGACGTTCTAGCGCTGAGCACAATTCAAAGCAATATATCATCTACAGTTCTTGATTTACTTAGCATATGATTTCTTCTTTCCCCCTCTTCTTTCTCCTTTTTATATAGCCTGATATTCAATGCTGTTTAAATTACTATTTCTAAAAATTATCTTATTTTTGCAAAATGTGGCTTTTCCAGGGTTCATGCCAATATAACATTTTCTAGCCATAGTATGGGCTTCCAATAGTTTTTCCCCACCCTTGGGGAGGTTCAGTTCTTCTCATAAAGTTTATTGAACTACTATTACTTTTACTGAGGAATAAGTTCATTCCTTATATTACAGAATAAAACAAAATGTTGATAGGCATTGTAAAACATAAAAAACATAAAAAATATCTCATAAATCTCTCATGTCAAAGTAGTAATCTCTATTTAGGAGAAGTGTAGAGGGAGATTTCTATTTTTACTCTTCACAACGTGCCAATATGGATATTCCCCATCAGAATCAATATTCAGATGCTCCCATTTTGATTCATGGACCTTAACTTCATTCAGCGTACCATTCTCCACTGCTGGATCTTGGTTCCCTTGGAGGAAGGAATTTTCCATTGTGATTTAGAATTGGCTTTAATGGGAATCCTCAGTTGTATCCAATTCCATTCTTGCTTTTTAAAGGGTGGACCTTGATAATTTTGTGTTACGGGAGCAGCTTTGATTTTCAAAATCAGATATTTTTCCTTGAACTGAGTGGCAAGCTTTTGGAGACAGACCCTCAGCCTTTTGTTCATGCGTTCAGCCCTGGTCAAGTGATTCATTTGTAACTGATTCAAGACTTTTTTCTATTTTTTTCTATCCTAATGGATAATCTTTGAGCCAACGGAGAAATAGCATTTGTTTAAACATTATTTAGGTCTTGCTGAAATTCCAGTCTTGGCTGCTAGAGCAGATCTTTAGTATCCCTTGTGCCTCATCTTGTTGTGTTGGTTTTTTGTCTTTCAATGAAGGCACCTGTTTTTGGGGGGAGACGGACTGTTGTCAAGTTACCCAAGAGGAGCTGGTCGGCCTTAACTGTTTTGACATACTTCCTTTAGATTGCAATGTAACAGTCCCAGTACATTTCTTTTCACAGGCTTGTGGGTGTGTAGGGAATTGTGGCCTAGATTAGTAAATAAGGCCGGGGCTGCTGATCACCACGTCCCTCAAAATGCTTCTCTTCACAGCAGTCATGCAAGGGAGTTGGTTTCTTACCTCTGAGCCTCACAGCTGAATTCTTTACTGGGTTTGTTTGAAAGGGTGTTCAAACTGTGCAAATGTCATGTAATCAGTTCTGAAGGAGACAACAGACTATTTGACTGTTTCATCACTCTATGTTTTGTAGCTGGCAGCAGTCATTGAGATGCTGGAAGGTGCTTTCTATGGCTTAGACTTGCTCAAACTGCACACTGTCACAACAAAGTTGTTGGGTCGAGTCGAAAAACTGGAAGAGGTAAGATGGATTTCAACTATTCCAGGGTGGTCTTGGTCCTCTCCCTGCTACTGACATGCAAAAAGTAACCAGGTCCCTTCTTCCTTCTCAGGAGAAACAGTACTTGCCAGCTGGAGTTTACCATTGCTTTCTTCTGAGGCAGACAAAGTGTGACTTTCCATAGGATATGCAGTAGATTTCTTTAGCTGAGTGGGAATTTGAACCTTGTCTGCTAGCGTCCAAGCCCAACACTCAACTGTCACCTCATGGGTTCTCAGTTATGTTCTGATATTCCACTTCAATTGCAATGGTTTTTCCCTATGGAATCATGAGATCTGCAGTTTTGTGAAGGGCATATCTAATTCTCAGCCCAAACACTTTGATGACTGATCAAATTACAAACCTTAGAATTCTATAGGATAGAAGCCTGGCCGTTAAAGTGGAACAATAGTGAGCCCCAGATGGTTGGGGGGGGGGGGGGGGGGGGGTGAGTGACATACCTTTTCATGCTAAAAACCAAACTGTGGAGTAATGGGAAACATGCCTGGTGTGTGAAAGATTAATAACGATGTCAAGCACTTCTAATTCCACAGGTTTCAGTGGCAGAATTAAAACATGTACTTGACTCTCCCTTCAAAGCAGAACGTTAAAACTTAGTTTACAGTTGATAGAATCTCAATATAGAGACTCTTCCACCTTTATTACAGTGTTTTTTGCTAACAAAAATATCAAGAAAAGGTACAGTAATTGCATTTCTGTCTATTATATTGTGGTTAATTACCTCATTAGCAACTCTATAATACAAAATACTATATTTACTCCAATCTAACACTCAAGGCCTGATAAAAGTACAGCCCCCATGATTCCATAGCATTGAACCAAGGCAGTTAAAGTGGATTCATTCTACAGCATAGATGCATCCCAAGGTTTCTTTTCAATTGCTGAAAGCTTTGGTATCCCAACAAAATTGTTTTTAAAGAAGGAATTCTAAGCAGGCAGCAACTGTAATGCGTGTATTACATAGAGCGCACCTTTTGCTGCTGTACATTATATTCATCAGCAAATACTTTTTTTGGTTTCAGGGTTTTGAAAACTGAGTTGCGCATTAGATTCGATGACACATTAGACTCAAGTTAATACGGGTAATTGTTGTAGCATCACATAAAAACAGTATTTTAAAATTTAATTTGCCCCCTTGTGGTTGAGTGCGAGCTAGTTTAGGGTGAGTTTTTGATATCAGGAGAGCGCTGCTGTTCGACTGCCTCTCCATAACCTTTCCTGGTCGTAGCTGTTAGATATGGGAGAGGCATTTGGCACAGATTGGCCTAAGAGTCATGGGAAGTAGTTAACATATTTCTCTAAAGCAGCCATAGTTTAACCACTAACATTTCCGCAAGTTGAGTTTTGCCCTCATCCAAAACTTAGGAAAGTTATTTTTAGATTAACACTTCCAGAATGCCTGGATCAACATGGGTTATGCTGGTTGGGGAATTCCACATGTTATTGTCCAAAAATATCAAAAGGCTCAAAGCAGATTCTGTTCACAAATTATTTTTAAAATGTGTTGATGTGGGATACCTATGTCTATGTGGATGTGGACACACACCCTCCCAACAGCCTTTATTCCTCAGGCTGAGTGATGACTGTAGCTGAGTCCTCAGCTGTGCCTCTGTTGTTTCACAGAACTAACTTCCAAAGGTTGAAGGCTCTGTGTGTTGGGACTGGAGGAAAAGCAGGCTGTCTGCAGTCATTGGTTCTCATCTGCTTTCTTCCTTTATTAGGTTATGTTGTAACACCAAATGTATTCATCATGCATCACTTATGTTTTGAGTTCTCCCTTTCCCTCTGCACTTTCCAGGAAGTGTCTAGAAACCTCACTAAGGATAATAAAAGCAAAAGGCAAAATGCAGAGGAAAGTTTGCAAGAGATACATGTTAAAGACAAGACCAATTCTTCCATCAGCAGCTCCAACAACCTTGGTGATATCCAGAGTTCGCTGCAGAGAGACGCTGCTGCAGCCTACACCCTGACCGAGGTGAGCCCTGCCCACGGCCCAGAGAACTCGAAACTCTCACCATCAATCAAAATCCTGTGGATAAAATTCTGGGATATTGACAGAACCAGATACTATTTGCTACTAGTTTAAATCCAGAGAAGGTGAACCTTTGAAACACCTGTATAATTTAAAAAAATTGACCCCAAAAACGTTGGTTGACTTATCCCAGAGTCAATGTAAGTATCTGTTTCTGCCGCTAAACATTAGTCCGAAAAGTTGGGAAGCAGCTCATTATGGGTGTGGGTGGGAAGGCTGAAAGCTGTGTGTGACAACAAGCAGCAAAAAATAAATGTAGGCCAAGTAGGAGATGGAGAGTTTATGTCAGACTTTGGAACAAACTATCTAGGAATCATTTTCCCACCCAGGCTTTCCAAAACACCAGTGGCAATGTTACATCAGAAGGATTAGAAGGGCTCAGTGCTTCCTTTAAGTTATCAATTTATCAGTACATTGTATCAAAATCCATAGTTTTGCCCTCTCAAACCTGCCCTCAATTTATACATGAGTAATTTAGAATTGTACACAGTAATCAAAACACCATCTGGTCTAATAAAGTAATATTATTTCATTTGTTTTGCATTTTTGCTTTGTGGTTTTGATCAATTTTCAGTGCAGAAAATTTCACTCTGCATTACTCTTCAATCACTGACTCTTGCAGGTGGCACTAGATGTTTTCATTGTAAACATGATGTCAGACAATGCAGAACACACTTAAAAGGAGTTATCATTATGGGGGAGAAGGAGACAATTTAGTTGCCCATAGATCATCCCAGCAAATGGCCTCCTCATAGAATCCATATTTTTGTGAAATGGATCCTGGAAGCCTTAAAAAGAAAATACCTTCATCGCTTGCTGTTTTGCTTCTCGCTTACCACTGCTGAAGACAAAATTCTGAATTATCATTAATAGGTCCAATAGGGCTGTTTTTTTTATCTCGAGGAGACTTTTGGCAATAATTTAACACATTTTTAATCTTTTCAAGGGAAAATATGAAGAAGTTTACCTACATGATAAATTGGCATCTTCACAGAGAATCTCAACAGAGTCCTTGCACTACATGCCTCAAGCTCATTCAAAGGAAATGAGTCCGAAGTCCACTTTGTCAAAAAAACCTAATGTGAAGAATCAACCTTCATCTCAGCCAACCATCATCCGAGGAATCACTTACTATAATGCCAAAGACACTGAGACAGAAAATGAACTAGAGGAACGTGAGTTGCGATTTCAGCCTATAAAGATTACATTTCCCAAGGACACTTTTTCCAGATGCAATGTTGTTCACATTCCCCGCCTCCAAGGAATTCTGTGGGTAACTCAGTATTCACAAGCTGGACTCCCAGCAGTTTGACATCTGAAGATTTATTCATTTTTTGTGCATAGAAGATCATGGCTGAGGCTTTGGAGGGCATAGCCAGGGTATAGCCAGGACAGTGAAACAATGGGTTGGAGATGCTTATGGTATGGATGAGTTGCGATTAGGCTGAGAAAGGCAGTATACAAATACAGTAAATAATAATAATAAATAATAAATATGAGAGTGAAATGCAAAAGCAAGCAGATTATTTTGAAAAGCATGTCAGAGGGGAATGTAAAGAAAACGGAGCTTCCGTGTTAGATATCCTCTCTCCCACAAACAGTGTGTGTAAACCCCTCTCTTATGACTTTTTTATTTATAGAAGATGAGGCTTTCAGTGGTGACGCGATTGACTTGCTGATTGAGGACCAGCTTTTGCAACATAACTACTTGTCGAGTATCTCCACCAGAAAGCAACCACCCACAGAAGACCCCCTAAAACGCCAGAGTAATGAGCACACAAAGGGACATGCTGCGACCACTGTACCACTTGAGAACGATGCCCCTAACACCACTACCCTCGTACCTGAAACTCCACTACCCCCTGCCGTCATGACTCCCTCTTCTGAGCCAATGCTAGCACCTACCTCATTGGTTCTTTCTACCACTGAAGGCATCTCAGCACCTTTGGAAACCACAACAGCTGCTGAAGCTTCCTCAATAACTTGGTCAAAGGGTGGTAGTGCCAGACGGACTTTGAAAAGAGTGGCTGTAGATATCACGCAAGCTCCCATAATGACAGCAACCCCAAATGTTCCTACTACAAAGCCACCAAGTCCCATAGCGGCCATAACAGATTTCCAAATAGAGACAACAGCTGAGCCTCGCACAGTGGCTGCTATGGCTAAAGCCATGAACTCTCCCAGCCCTAGCCTCACGGCCACACCCAAGGAGGGCCTGGATGAAGAAGATGTAAGAAACAGCATTGGTGAGCTCATTTCCTTCTTCCTGTTTATATTTTTTCAATAATAGCATGCCACAGCAGCATTGTTATGATGGGGAGAAAAGTCTTTCAGCTCCCATCTCTATGAATATTTGTTGCTGGGTACCTTCAAGTTGTCTCTTAATTTTTCTTAGCAAGATTAGTTTGGAGGGGGTTTGCCTCTACTGTTGTCTAAAGCTGAGAGGTTGTGACTTGCCCAAGATCACTTACTAGGCTTTCATTGCTAGTAGCAATTTGAACTCTGGATTCCAGAATTATAGTCTAGCGCTCCAATCAGTATGCTATTTTTGCTCTTTGATACATATATTGCCATATAATAATGTCAACTTATCTGCTGAATCTCTTCCCAATATGGAATGATTGTGGTTTAAAGATGGGCAATGCAAAGCCAGAGATGTTTATGAGGGCAGCAGGGGATGTCCTATAACAGATGTGGTTCTATGCTAAATCATGTATAATCATGTACAAGGGCCACTGTGGTGCAGCGGGTTAAACTGCTAAGCTGCAGAACTTGCTGACCAGAAGGTCAGTGATTCAAATCTGTGGGACAGGGTGAGCCTCCATTGTTAGCCCAAACTTCTGCCAACCTAGCAGTAATCATGCAAATATGAGTAGATCAATAGGTACCACTCTGGCGGAAAGGTAACGGTGCTCCATGCAGTCATGCCAGCCACATGACCTTGGAGGTGTCTACGGACAACGCCAGCTCTTTGGCTTAAAAATGGAGATGAGCACCAACCCCCAGAGTCAGACAAAACTGGACTTAATGTCAAGGGGAAACCTTTACCTTAAAGCATGGAATAATTTGCAAAGAGGAAAAATGATCTGCACAAGTAAGTATATCTAGGGGTGAGCAACGTAGATGGGTCCAAGAGTGGAACAACAGAACACTGATGTTTTTCAATGTTAAACAAGATGAATCACATTTCCTGGAAGCTTTGAAGAGAAGTGGTTCACTACCTTGTCTAGCTGGCAACATCACGCCTCAGCTTTAGCAATGGCAGAACCAGTTTTTTAATGGGATATTTGTAAAGATTGCTAAGGGTTTACTTTGGGTAGCACTTTTTTGCCATTCTGCTTTCTTTACAGGCCAGTGCAAGGACACTTTGTCCACCATCTCAGGACCAATGATCCAGAATACCTATGGGCGGAATGAAGGTGCTTGGATGAAGGATCCAGTTGCCAAGGATGAGCGGATCTATGTTACCAACTATTACTATGGCAACACTCTGGTGGAGTTCCGAAATCTGGATAACTTCAAACAAGGTGTGTCCTGTGCCAGACCTTGTCTGAAATGTAAAGAAACCATGGGGTGGTTGTGGGGATTCTGGGAGATTTCAGAAGGGGCCATGTTTGGGGTTAGGAGGACCAGCAACATGGCAACTTACTCTTAAGAGAGCCTCGAGGATCTAATTATGTAGATCTGAGTGTTTTAAGGGAGCCTAGAATGGTTTTGTATTTAACATTCAGACCACACTCTTAAATGGGACTTCCACAACTTAAGTACTTGAAATATGGCAAAAAAATCTCAAATTTTGAATGAAAAATCTGAATGTGTAATTTTATCCAATTTTGAGCACTTTTGTTCTAAAGTCATTTTCTAAGTGTTCTGTTTTTGACAATCATCAAAAATGAAACTTAATAAGCATTATAATAAATGTAATTATTTGTCATCAGTTAACTTTTAATACCTTTTAGTAAGATACTGGCAAGTGTTAAGACTCAGTTACACATTTTGTGTAGGTTTTGCTATTTTTGGAATATTCAAAGATTAATGAGCGGATATTCAAAATGAAAGTTCTGTGGAGAATTTGGGAGAGTCAAATTCATGTCCTACCAGATTCGAGTAAAGATTGTTGGCATGAAATAAAAATTAAAGATTCGTCCTTCGTTGATTTTGACAATAGCTGACACCTCCCCATGGCCTACATTGTTTTATGGTATACTAGAAATACTGTAACTGCTATTTTATGTACCTAGGGCCAACAACCAGGCATTATGGCTGCGTACAATGTTACACCCAGGCACCACATCCTCTTAAATATCAAACAAGGCCTGAACAATCTGTGCTGGTCCCATAGACCTCAGATAATGATTACAATGTTTGCATAATTATTGCTTATGCTCAGTGTATCGCTATTTGCGTAACTGAAGTTCTGTAACATACTGATACTTAAATATCTATCCCTATCAGTGCTGTGAGTAGGTTGTGAGTAGGTTGTACTGAAACTAGTGCTGAGGCTTGGCAGATCCTTTGGCTGAAATTAATATTTGTTGTCTGTTTGCCTTCCTGCTCAGTTTCAGGGCTCATCCTAGCTTCCTGTCTCACTTGAAGACACGGTTGGGCTGATATTGTGCTCCTGGGTTGGATGGTTCCAGGTTCTGTTTGTGGGATTTCCATGCATACTTCCCAAGCAATATCGCATCAAGATTGTAAAACTCCAGAGAGATTTTTCCAATTAGTATAGACCAGGGGTCCCCACGATATGGCCCTCCAAGGTCATTTACCTGGGTCCTGCCCTAAACTTGAGACTTAGAATCACCCTAAGTCTGAAATGACTTGGAAAGGAGCGGTCAACCCCCCCTCCCCTGTTCAAACAGCTCCACTGGCTGCTGATAAGTTTCCGCTCCTCTACGAACTGACACGGTTTCTAAGATCTTTCTAAGCTCTTTTCTCCCTCTGACCCCCGTCGCAGGTACAATTGGTGGGGATGAGAGAGGGCCTTCTCAGTGGTGGCCTCCTGGCTTTGGAACTTCCTCCCCAGGGAGATTAGACAAGCACCTTCCGCAAACATCTAAAGACATTGATGTTCCTCTGTGCTTTTGACCAGACAATCCTCCCGAAGCTTCACCCCAACTAGGACCCAAAACCTTGTCCTCACACTTTACTGTTGGTCTATACCTAAAGTTGTAATGCTGTATCTCATATTGCTCTCTATCTCTATTGCTGCCATATATCCTATGCACTTTATTCATCAGTCCTATCCTCACAATTGTTTTTGCACCACTCTGCCCACCTGTGTCCAGAGACTGACAGTTATCGCAGAGCCTATTGGTTATTAGTTTGATGTTTTGTTCTCATATTTTGTTACAATGTTGTTGCTTTTTGTTTTATGTTGATGTTTAGATATTTTAATATGTTGTATTTTAACTATGTTTGATCGGGCTTGTCCCCATGTAAGCCACCCCAAGTCCCTCCGGGGATATTGGAGGCAGGATATTAAAAAAAAAGTAATAGTAGAAGTAGTTGTTATTTGAAACACAACAGGATGAGTCCACAGCAGACACACTGCTGGCTGTTGAATTGGATCACACGTTGGACACTTCCAAAGTGTCTAGGGCTGTGTGATGTATTGGCGAATAATGTGTGCAGATCCCAGTAAGGTGGCCTTCTGCAGCTGGCAGATGGTAATTATGTCAGCACCGATTGTGTTTAAGTGCAGGCCAAGGTCTTTAGGCACTGCACCCAGTGTGCCAATCACCTCTGGGACCACCTTTACTGGCTTGTGCCACAGTCTTTAAATCCTCATATCGTGTCATATCGTATTATTATTATTATTATTATTATTATTATTAATAAGCACTTATCAACAAGAATCCTAATTTCTCCCACCCTGAACATTCCACAGATATATAAGCCCCAATTGCCTAGTTTGCAACAGACCTCACAACCTCTGAGGATGCCTGCCATAGATACAGGCGAAACGTCAGGAAAGAATGCTTCTGGAACATGGTCATACAGCCCAGAAAACTCACAGTAACCCAATCCTAATTAACTTGACTATGTCATCAGCCTAAAGGAGGCCCACACTTTCTATTGAAATACTGATACATTTATGTTGGTTAAAATTGTTCTTCATTTTAAATAATTGTATTGTTTTTTCATGGGGGTTTTTTTTTTATTTTGTACTATTAATAGTTTGGATCGGAATTTGTTTTTTCAAACTGTAGCCCAGCCCTCTTCTTTAAAAGTTTGAGGAACCTTGGTACAGACAATTCTGATCTAGATCAAAACAGAAAGATTTAGGTTGGCTCAAGTTTGCTGTTCACCTAATCTTCTTGTTTCTGCTTTACAGGTCGATGGAGTAACTCGTATAAATTACCCTATAGCTGGATGGGTACAGGTCATGCAGTCTTTAATGGCTCTCTCTACTACAATCGGGCCTTCACGCGCAACCTTATCAAGTATGACCTAAAGCAACGCTTCGTGGCTGCTTGGGCCATGTTGCATGACGTAGCCTACGATGAGACGCCATGGCGGTGGCGTGGCCATTCCGACGTGGACTTTGCTGTGGATGAGAATGGCCTGTGGATCATTTACCCAGCCATTAATTATGAAGGGTTCAGCCAGGAGGTGGTAGTCCTCAGCAAACTCAATGCCAATGATCTGAGCATACGTAAAGAGACCACGTGGCGGACAGGCCTGCGCAAGAACTTTTACGGCAACTCTTTTGTCATCTGTGGGGTTCTCTATGCTGTTGACAGCTACAATAGAAAGAATGCCAATATCTCCTATGCGTTTGACACGCACACCAACACCCAGATCATTCCACACCTGCTCTTTGAAAACAAATATTCCTATACCACTCAGATAGACTATAATCCCAAAGATCGGCTCCTTTACGCCTGGGACAATGGCCATCAGGTTACCTACAATGTCATCTTTGCTTATTGAGGTAATTTTAAAGAGCTACTCGCACCTTTGAAAATATATTTTTATTGTACAAAACAGAGTAAATGTGGTTGTTATGCTTTACCTTTTAAAAATGGATTGTAGATCAATCCATCTACTAAAGTCAACCCTTTTATTTTGGTCATAACTTGCTTTTGTTTTTATAGTGGATATTTTGCCTTTTATGAGACAATGGAAATATTTCTTCTTTAACAACTGCTAAGTTCAGACTCTGAAATGAATAAAACCACCCCCTTGCCATGTTGTTTTTATACAGGACTTAGTTTTGGATAACCCCACAAAGTTACAATCTTTATAATAAAACACCATGTTAAAACTCAGCAAAACTACAGGTCTGCTTGCATTTGCTTCTGTTTTGCATGTCATTATTGTCTCTACCTTTCTTAATGGGGAAAACACCATGAGTCGACTATTTTTGTATTTTGTATGCCCTCCGCTATAAATATAATTTTATCTGGATGAAGCAATGGAACTGTAGCGGAAATATCACAATTATACTTTGTGGATTTTGTATACTGGTTCAAGATTGGGAAAGGCGAACGGCAGGGTTGTATACTCTCACCCAACCTATTCAACTTGTATGCAGAACACATCATGCGATGTGCAGGGCTTGACAAATGCAAGGCTGGGGTGAAAATTGCTGGAAGAAACATTAACAACCTTAGATATGCAGATGATACTACTCTGATGGCTGAAAGTGAGGAGGAGCTGAGGAGCCTTCTAATCAAGGTGAAAGAAGAAAGCGCAAAAGCTGGGTTGCAGTTTAAACATCAAAAAAACCAACAAGAATGATTGACAACTGGGAAATAGAGGGAGAAAATGTGGAGGCAGTGACAGACTTTGCATTTCTAGGTGGAAAGATTAGTGCAGACGCAGACTGCAGCAAGGAAATCAGGAGACGCTTACTTCTTGGGAGGAGAGGAATGACCAATCTCGATAAAATTGTGAAGAGTAGAGACATCACACTGGCAACAAAGATCCGCATAGTCAAAGCAATGGTATTCCCGTAGTCACCTATGGATGTGAGAGCTGAGCGAAAGGAAGGCTGAGCGAAGGAAGATAGATGCTTTTGAACTGTGGTGTTGGAGGACAGTTTTGAGAGTGCCTTGGACCACAAGAAGATCCAACCAGTCCATAATTCAGGAAATAAAACCCGACTGCTAATTGGAGGGAAGAATAGCAGAGGCCAAGACGAAGTACTTTGGCCACATGATGAGAAGACAGGAAAGCTTAGAGAAGATATAACAATCAGCTCCGCTTGCCAATTCAATTATAATGATCAGCAGGACTGCTCAGCCAAATTATAACAATGCATACCTCCACTACTGACTAGCTCGCCGAAATATAGAGGGAGAATAGTTGTTGAATCAACTAAATATTTAGAAACTAGGAACTATGACCCACTGGAACTGAAAGGCTTAAAAGGATTCTTTAAAGATTTCCACTGCCACCAAATTAAGAGTAAACAGGCTGTGGTATTTGTGAGACGTTGCTCAGTAACACACTCTGTGTTACTATAGTGTTCTTAGAGGCTGTGTAAAGTTATCTTGAATAATGCTTTTACCACAAAGATAGTCACACAGAGCAGGCATGTAGCTGGGGGGGGGGGCTTGGGGAGCTTCAGCCCCCCCCCCGAAATTCTCATGGTGGTTCGCGAAAAGGCCTTACTGGTGCATTATTTAAACTGTTATGTTTATTCATATCATGATCTGATCACCCTACTCAATATATCCCATATGCATGGGGGTATTGGGGTAACGATACAAAAGGTTTGCTAGGGTAGACCCTCTTTCACTCGGACTCAGCCCCCCCCCCCCGAAACAAACTCAGCCCCTCCGAATCAAAATCCTGGCTACGGGCCTGACACAGGTTGTATAGTTAATAAAAAATAACCAGAACGTTTATTTATCAGGCTTGAAATATTCAGGTACAAAAGTGTGATGGTTTCATTAAAATATTGGCACATACAAGCTTGTGGTTATGTAAAGATCTTAAAACTTCTGGGTACAAGTCTTAAAAAAGGATCAACACAAAAGATTACCTCAGGAAATGAATCTCTGAGAGTAACTCCCAAAAATCCCCCCTATAGGAAACTAGCCAAATCCCTGAACCAGCTTTCCTTAGGGAAAAGAACAGACCACAGCGGGGTCCTGTTCCACTCAGTATTCTAGCTATCTATTTCAATAGCTATTCCTGAATACCACTCCACAGACTGTCCCAAAGTTCTTCCTCACAAACCCAAACTACGCTAGCTAACACCCAGACTTCTCTCTACCCTTCCAAACTTCAACTGCCAAACCAGAACCTCAAACCTCAGTTTAAAAGTCACTTTTTTCCTTCAGATCACTTAGGCTCCGCCCCCATCTTCTTAACCAATCCCAGCCTTGTAGCTTTCCCTCCAAGACTAGAACATGCCCCCTTAAGGTAAACCTAACCAAAGATGGAGTCACCTTGTCTCCCTTCTCCAAAATGGCTTCGCCAGGCCCACTCTCCAAGGCCTAAGCTAGCTTACCAAGGTAAGGGATTCATTACAATGATGCTGGGGGAATTGGAAGGAAAAAGAAAGAGGGGCCAACCAAGGGCAAGATGGATGGTATCCTTGAAGTGACTGGCTTGACTCTGAAGGAGATGGGGGAGGTGATGGCCGACAGGGAGCTCTGGCGTGGGCTGGTCCATGAGGTCACGAAAAGTCAGAAGCGACTGAACAAATAAACAACAACAGAGTATTGCTTTCAGAGGACAGAATAAACTTGTGCATACGTTTCTCTCAGACTAAGAGCATTCCAGTGATTAATTTTAGCAGATTTACATATAAATCTCTATGTTGTGCTTTCTGTAAGTAACATCTCTTTCTTACAACAACCAAAATGTGGTTTCCATCTTTCAAAGTGTGAAATGTATCCCCTTTCCTGTTCCAAAGAAGCGCTGCCCAATTCCTTCCTATATTTCAACAGCTATTGTAGTTCTTCAAATTGCAGTTCTTTGAGGAAACAGACATCTGAGGGAAAGGGGCTCCTCAGTGCCAACTCTTCAATATAGGGACTTGGAGACTTAATTAGATGCAGATGTTAAAAAACAATGACACTTCCCTCAATTTCATGTTATTAATTTGTTATTTGTCAGTATGAAAGTACAAAAGTATGGCCTAGGAATGGAGAGAAGAATAATAGAGATGAATAACTGACAGTGCTAGGAACAATTTGGCTTCTTGGACCCAGGTCTGCAGTTTCATGGAGCCGGACTTCTGGCGATGGATGGAACGCACTTCTCAGCAGCTGGCAGGAATGTTTTTGCAAAGAGTCCCAGTTTAAAGGGGGCTTTAAACTGAGCCATAGGGGAAGGGAGACAGCATTCTTGAGGTTCATCATGTATAGAGATAATACCTCAACTGTTAAAAAGAGAACTGCTCAAAAAGTATAAGCTGAAGGAAAAAAAGTCAGACTTACATTCTAGACTTTTAAGAAAACTGAATGTACTTACTTACTTACCGTATATTCTGGTGTATAAGACTACTTTTTAACCCAAGAAAATCTTCTCAAAAGTCAGGGGTTGTCTTATACGCGAGGTCATCTTATGCATCATCATCATCATCATTTAATAACTTATTAATCGCCCTCCATCTGAGAATGCTCTAGGCGATTTACAGCTAAATTATAAAAGATAAAACACATACATACAAAATTTAAAAATTAACAGAGATCGAATGCTCTAGTAAAAAGCCAGGTCTTAAGTGCGAGAGTAAAAGGCCCTAAGTCACGCATGGCTCTCATGTAGGGCGGCAAGGAATTCCACAAGGCAGGGGCAGAAATAGAAAAAGCCCTGCGTCTGGTCCTTTCCAAGTGCACTTCTCTAGGACCCGGTATATGGAGTAAGTCACGTTGGGCTGGTCGTTGCGACCTCCGATGATGGGAGAAGGAGAGGCGGTCCCTAAGGTACAATGGACCCTGGCCGTAAAGAGTTTTAAAGGTCAGAACTAGCATCTTATATAGGCCACGGCACTCAGTTGGAAGCCAATGTAAATGTTGCGGCACTGGTGTTATATGGCATTTCATGGGCGTTCTTGTGAGTAACTGGCTGCCGCATTCTGATACGTGGGAGTAGTCTTATACACATGAGTCGTCTTATAGAGCAGGTGCTGAAACTTCCAATCGGATTGGAGAATCTGTGGTTGATGCATATGATGGGGGAAGCTCAAAAAAGGCAATGGGCGTCACCCTGCCAGATGCAGTGACTGTATGAAAGCATTAAGAGCGATGCTGTACAAGTACAGTAGAAGAAAATCCATTCTTCAGGATTCGTGGACTTAATGCGGTCCTGATGGTGAGGTGAAGGGGCACCTCACCGGGAAGGTGTAAGTGAAGGCTGGAGCAAGCTGCAGGCGTCCGGGGCCTGAGATAGAGTGGCTCTGGGCCCAGACAAACACACTTCTTTTACCTGTCTGGCCTGCCCTTGCATCCTATTACTGTACCTCTTCCTCTGCATCTCAGATCTCGTTCCTGAAGACTGCAGTGAAGCGGTGCAGGTGCACATGTGCGAGATCTGAGAGGCAGAGAAGGAGGTACAGCAATAGGAAAATTACCATATTGAAATCAAATCTGATGCTTTTTAAATTTTTATTTGGTGTGCATTGGAAGAGGGGTAGTCTTATACAGCGAATATATCCCAAGCTCTATATTTTAACTGGAAAAGTTGGGGGTTGTCTTATACGTCCAGCCGTCTTATATGCCAGAATATACGGGTACTTACTTAGACGATCCCTCTTTGTCCAAGTAGAATTGTCTTCCAAGATTGGTGTACTGGCGGTGGGAGCCCTATTCTTGATCTGCATGTTCTCTCACAATGAGGGCATCACTTTCCAGGTGGAAGGCAGTCCTGGTCGGGGTTGACTTGACGCGCCTTCCTCTTGGCACGTTTTTCTCTTTCGCCCTCCATTCGTACCTCTTCAAATTCTGCAGCACTGCTGGTCACAGCTGACCTCCAGCTGGGGCGCTCAAGGGCCAGGGTTTCCCAGTTCTCAGTGTCTATGCCAGAGTTTTTAAGGTTGGCTTTGAGCCCATCTTTAAATCTCTTTTCCTGCCCACCAACATTTCGTTTTCCATTCTTGAGTTCGGAGCAGAGCAACTGCTTTGGGAGACGGTGGTCAGGCATCCGGACAACGTGGCCGGTCCAGCAGAGTTGATGGCGGAGGACCACCACTTCAATGCTGGTGGCTTTGCTTCTTCCAGCACACTGACATTTGTCTGCTTGTCTTCCCAAGAGATTTGCAGAATTTTTTGGAGGCAACGATGATGGAATCATTCTAGGAGTTGCATGTCTGTAGATAGTCCAC